AAGATTCCTTTGCTGCCTTGAAATGGTGCGCCCCGTGGAGACGTGGTCTCACCCACAGCTAGGGGGCACCCTGATAGGGAAATACCCCTGGGAAACGCCCCCAAATTTTTTCCCCCCCAAAAATGGAAACAATTTAATTTTAAAAATGTTGCAAAAAAATTATGCTGCTTTTTTTCAATCGTAGTGTAATAAAACCAAAAAAAGTGCCAAATAAATCCCGAAATATAAGGGTCTATGTTATGGTCATTTGGGACCAGTAAAATTTCTCAGAGATTTTTGGGATAACAAGCCCCAAAAGAATTTTTGCAATGTTGACTCTGGTTAAATTTACAGGAGGGGCCCCGTTATACACCCAAATTGGGTCCAGGTGCTGCCATAAAATGAAAATTGCCATTTAAAATTGAACACCTTTAATTCCCCTTTAAAAGTATATAAATATAAAAAATGTTTTTCCTTATTTAATTACAATTTGAACTAGGGCCTAAGAAAACAATAAATGCAAAAACGTCATCATTACTTACTTTAAAAATTTGTAATCTTAAAATAGGGTGAGAGGGGAGTAGATTTATTGAAAAAATTCGGGTTGCTAGAAACCCTTTAATTTTTTTTACTATGATTGCATTCTTTTGTTAATGTATGTAGCGTGTTTTTTTAATAATTCTGAATAAAAAGTCAAGTGGATTAATTTAAAAAGTCTATAAAAAAGTAAAACCAACATTTAAAATGCCCAAAGAGTTATTGTAATTTTTTTTTTTATTAACAATCGGCCCATCCCCCCAAGGGGGGGTGGGGCCCAAAAGAAAAACATTATTTTTATTATTATTTTATTATTATTGCTATTGACATACTAGTTCACTGGTTTAAAAATGTTAATTTGAATGTGAAATAATGGCTTAGACTCCTTATCAAAGCTAACCTTGTGCCCTTGTAAATGAAAGAATGAGAAACGAGAGAAAGAGTACGTGGACCCCCGGGTTAAAGAATTTTTTTTTTTCCAGAAGTATGTTTTAGGTGCCAGATGACCGAATTTTTTCCCATAAGGAATATTGTGAAAGTTATCAATTTCAGACCCCCAAACTCAGTACAAATACTTTACATAAATACACTTACATAATTTGGGCGCATTGGAGGGGATCGTTATCGGGGGTCCCCCTTTATACAGAAAAAGCACTCCAGTGACTTTAAAGACCTGCACACCAGCACGTGCTAAGTTTATTTAGGTAAGGACATTTGTACAATTATCAGAGTGTTAAATAAAAATATGCAATAACTTTTTAAAACACTTGAAACTTTGGAAAGTTTCCAGACATAAATGAGAGAGAACAGGTCCGGGGGATGTAAACAAACTGAGAATGGATAAGTGGCATCAGGAATGTAATGAAAATCAGGGGAATATAAACAATTTTTTGGGGGGAAATTTGAAATAAAGAAAAAAAAGACACAATATTGTACTGGAACAAAGTACAAATAACCCGCACGTAGGAGGACGAGTTGTGACTTTTGATGGGTCCCAAAAATTCATAAGTCCTCTTCCCAGTGTGGGTTATTATATTTATTTGAAATGTTTGTGTTAGCCAAAGGGAGTAAAAAGGAGCCCTCCCCGTTTGGGGTATGATTTAATTTTTCAATTATTTTTTCCCCTTTTTATTTTTGGGCCAGATCATTTCTTTATTTAATTACTTGATACGTGTGTGATAAGCTCATATTTTTAATAAACATTTGTCAAGAAATGTGAAATTTGCCAAGTCTTGGAATGTATCAGTCCCTGTTGTAAACTATATTTACAGTAGAATCTTGGTTTTCATACGTCCTAGTTTGCATGTAAAATTATAGTTATTCTCTATCAAATGTATTTTTTGCTAATATTTTTGGGTGTCTGGAATGGATTAATTGGATTTACATTATTTCTTATGGGAAATATTAACAAAATATACATTTTATAGAGAATAACTAGGTACCTAGGGATTGGCGGAGAGCATGTATAGTCCCTTTATATAAAGGGAAAGGGGACAAAAGAGATTGTAAAAATTATAGAGGAATAAGTTTACTGAGTATACCAGGAAAAATATACGGTAGGGTTATAATTGAAAGAATTAGAGCTAAGACAGAATGTAGGATTGCGGATGAGCAGGGAGGCTTCAGAGTGGGTAGGGGATGTGTAGATCAAGTGTTTACATTGAAGCATATATGTGAACAGTATTTAGATAAAGGTAGGGAAGTTTTTATTGCATTTATGGATTTAGAAAAGGCATATGATAGAGTGGATAGAGGAGCAATGTGGCAGATGTTGCAAGTATATGGAATAGGTGGTAAGTTACTAAATGCTGTTAAAGAGTTTTTATGAGGATAGTGAGGCTCAGGTTAGGGTGTGTAGAAGAGAGGGAGAATACTTCCCGGTAAAAGTAGGTCTTAGACAGGGATGTGTAATGTCACCATGGTTGTTTAATATATTTATAGATGGGGTTGTAAAAGAAGTAAATGCTAGGGTGTTCGAGAGAGGGGTGGGGTTAAAATATGGGGAATCAAATTCAAAATGGGGATTGGCACAGTTACTTTTTGCTGATGATACTGTGCTTATGGGAGAGTCTAAAGAAAAATTGCAAAGGTTAGTGGATGAGTCGGGGAATGTGTGTAAAGGTAGAAAGTTGAAAGTGAACATAGAAAAGAGTAAGGTGATGAGGGTATCAAATGATTTAGATAAAGAAAAATTGGATATCAAATTGGGGAGGAGGAATATGGAAGAAGTGAATGTTTTCAGATACTTGGGAGTTGACGTGTCGGCGGATGGATTTATGAAGGATGAGGTTATCATAGAATTGATGAGGGAAAAAAGGTGAGTGGTGCATTGAGGTATATGTGGAGTCAAAAAACATTATCTATGGAGGCAAAGAAGGGAATGTATGAAAGTATAGTAGTACCAACACTCTTATATGGATGTGAAGCTTGGGTGGTAAATGCAGCAGCGAGGAGACGGTTGGAGGCAGTGGAGATGCCCTGTCTAAGGGCAATGTGTGGTGTAAACATTATGCAGAAAATTCGGAGTGTGGAAATTAGGAAAAGGTGTGGAGTTAATAAAAGCATTAGTCAGAGGGCAGAAGAGGGGTTGTTGAGGTGGTTTGGTCATTAAGAGAGAATGGATCAAAGTAGAATGACATGGAAAGCATATAAATCTATAGGGGAAGGAAGGAGGGGTAGGGGTCGTCCTCGAAAGGGTTGGAGAGAGGGGTAAAGGAGGTTTTGTGGGCGAGGGGCTTGGACTTCCAGCAAGCGTGCGTGAGCATGTTAGATAGGAGTGAATGGAGACGAATGGTACTTGGGACCTGACGATCTGTTGGAGTGTGAGCAGGGTAATATTTAGTGAAGGGATTCAGGGAAACCTGTTATTTTCATAAAGTCGGACTTGAGTCCTGGAAATGGAAAGTACAATGCCTGCACTTTAAAGGAGGGGTTTGGGATATTGGCAGTTTGGAGGGATATGTTGTGTATCTGTATATGTATATTCTTCTAAACTGTTGTATTCTGAGCACCTCTGCAAAAACAGTGATAATGTGTGAGTGTGGTGAAAGTGTTGAATGATGATGAAAGTATTTTCTTTTTGGGGATTTTCTTTCTTTTTTGGGTCACCCTACCTCGGTGGGAGACGGCCGACTTGTTGAAAAAAAAAAAAAAAAACTATGTATAGTTTTACATACACACTAGGGCATACAAAAACTGAGGTTCCACTGTACTTCACTTTCTACACCATGGAGTGGGAATGCATCTATCGCATAAAGTGAGGGAAGCCTGTACTACTCTAATGTGAAATACAAAACACAGCAGAAGGCAATACAGTGGACCCCCGCATAACGATGGCATCACATAGCGATTTTTCCGCATAACGATTACTTTTATCGCAAAATTTTTGCCGCGCATACCGATTAAAAACCCGCTTACCGATTTTCGTCCGAGACGCGTCCAATGTGCCCTCACATGTGCCGGCCGTCCCATTGTTTACCAGCCAGCCTCCGCGGTAACATCCAAGCATACACTCGGAATATTTCGTATTATTACAGTGTTTTCGGTGCTGTTTCTGGAAAATAAGTGACCATGGGCCCCAAGAAAGCTTCTAGTGCCAACCCTGTGGTAAAAAGGGTGAGAATTAGTATGGAAATTAAGAAAGATTTTGAAGGGTTTGGGGCTAACCCTGAGAAGCCTATGCCAGTTGTGGAATCCATTGTGCCTACTTCAAAGATTAAGGAAATGTGTGCAGAGTGGGTTGAACTGCAAACCTTTATAGATGAAAATCACCCTGACACAGCTGTTGCAAGCCGTGCTTGTTACTATTTCAATGACAATGTTATGGCCCATTTTAGGAAAGTCTTGAAGGAACGGGAGGTACAGAGCTCTATGGACAGATTTGTTGTGCGACAGAGGTCCAGTGACTCTCAAGCTGGTCCTAGTGGCATTAAAAGAAGAAGGGAAGTAACCCAGAAAAGGACTTGCTACCTCAAGTCCTAATGGAAGGGATTCCCCTTCTAAACAGTAAGAAGATAATGCTCTCCCCTCCTCCCATCCCATCAATCATCACCAGATCTTCAATAAAAGTAAGTGTCATGTAATTGTGCATGCCTTTTTCAGTTTGTGTGTATTAAAATTAACATTTCATGTGGTAAAAAAAAATTTTTTTCATACTTTTGGGCGTCTTGCACGGATTAATTTTATTTCCATTATTTCTTATGGGGAAAATTCATTCGCATAACGATTATTTCGCATAACGATGAGCCCTCTTGCACGGATTAAAATCGTTAACCGGGGGTCCACTGTATTAATTCAAGCTTGCAAAATTTATTTTAAATTTATAAAGTTAAAAATAAAGCACTTTTAAAAGAGAAGCAAAATTAATAAATGTTATGTATAGTTATTACGAAAAAATGAATATAGTACCAGTATACACAATCCAATGTAGTCAAATATCACCCAAAAAACTATTACATATGTTATTGAAACATAATTTAACAAACCATTTTTCCTCTGGTAATGGTGTGTTCATGTAGAGGTTCATATTCAACATCAGCATAATCCACAAAATTCGGCAAAGTGTGATACTCTGGTAATAATGGTTGCTGTGCCTCAGGAGAAGACCCAGATGATGTTGAGGAAACACTGGCACTGCGTTCATATATGCGTCCTTCTGTAATCATATTATATGTGCACATGAAATACTTTTGCATACAGTACTGTACTGTTTCTTCATTTATTATTAATTTGATAATCAGACAGGCTCATAAAATTATATTTTTTATTGCAGTGGCCCTTTCCCATGAAGGCAGGAGTACCAGAGAAGGAACACAAACTTGTCATTGTTCATTCCCTAAGTGTCCCTCCAGAAGACCATGGAAATCACAATTCTATTGAAACATTCAAATGAAATATCCCCTCTCATCTCTAAGAATGCAGACACAGTATTTCCCACCTTCGAAACTCGAGTTCAGCTAACCAGATTTGCTTCACCCCTTCATAGATGTTACTTGTTAACACTCAACTACAACAGCAGTTTAGCCTCAGAAATCACTTCATTTACACTCAATCTCATCTATAATGCTCACTTATGCCTGCTAGATACTCAAGGCTACTACCTTTTAAACCCTTCTGCACACTTTCCCACCAACCCTTTCAGTCATGTTCCTTACACTTTCCATCTACTCCCACTTCTAAATCCCTCTTTTGCTCCTTCAATTATAGTTTTCATGCTACAACACCATCTCATAATTTCTTCACTCCCGTGGCCTGGTGGCAAAAGCTCTCACTTCACACGGTGAGGGTCCAGGTTCAATTCCTGGTGAAGGGGTGAAACCATTGGACGTGTTTCCTTACACCGGTTGTCTATGTTCACCCGTCAGTAAAATGGGTACCTGGTGTGTTAGTGGACTGGTGTGAGTTGCATCCTGGGACAAAACTGACCTAATTTACCCAAAATGCTCTGCACAACATGCGGCTTTCTATAGAGCAGCATGTCATTGATGTTAGCTAGGCCTGTATACCTTGTACATGTACTTGCAGTAAATAATTATATTATTATTATTATTATTATTACACACTGATTTCTACTACCTTTTGCCTCCTCCTCCTTTATGTTTTCATCCCATAAACTTCTTTTTTCCCCAAAGACACCTCAACATTCTACCTACTCTCTTTCCTTTCCTCTATTTAATGATTTACCTCGTCATTCATAGACTTATCTGCCAGCACAAATACTCCCAAATATTTAAATTTAACCTTTATAAAATGATTGCCTAGAGCAATTTTGTCTAAACATAATTGAAAAAAGTGAAACTTTTTTTGCAGACCACTTAAGAGAGCTTCATATGCACAAAAGCATCAAATTATGTTCAAATCTTGGTCATTTGCACTGTGGATTTTCCTTCTCCTCTGTAGGGCCTAAAGGTTAAGTGTTTGGAGAGAGACAGCTCTCTCCTTCCCCAAGCTGCCTATGGCTACTATGCTTTTGTATTTATCAAATGATTTTGCATCCTTTCATCTCTCCATCTTATCTCTGGATATTAACCATGGTACCCAAGATGAATATTAGTGATTCTGGAGGTGCCAAGAAGAAAAATAAGTGTGAAGCTCTGACAGTATTGAAGACAGTGAAAACTTCAGATATGATATGAAGTAGTGCACATTTGATACAAACTACCCATTCATTTTGACTGAAAGAATCCACCATTCATACAATTAGTGACAATGAGAAGAGATATGAGCTTATGCAGCTAGTAGTGCAGATTGTAATGTGGTGAAAAGAATGTCAAAGGTCAGTACACCAAATAAGACATATGTTACTGAATGTGCAGACTGAGAAGGCACAAAATCATATTGTACACTATAAAAGTATGTGTGAGAAGGATATGTTCAGGGTATGTTCAGTGCTAGATGGTTTGTAATCTTTAAAAGTGCAGTCAGCATCATACCATAAGATTTAGTAATGACTGCATCAACTGATTACTTTTCTGGGGGTGAAGGGGGAAGGTATTTCCCAGCTGATTTTACACTTATGCATGTAAGTGTCATGGAATGAAGTGCCCCAATCAACCATAAAAGCATGCTGGGGTCATTTATGATGTGGAGAATAATTTCTCTGTCCTACCATCAGTAAGAGTCATGTCCAGGAAGATGCAAGATGCAAGATGTGAGGGCTTTGAAGAAATGCATAAACAAGATGTAAATGAACTATCAGAAAAGGATGAAGAACCAACTGCAGAGAAAATGCTGAAGGAGCTCAATTCCCAGTTAAGAGAGAGGCAGATAAAAAAATTAACAAGGAAGATTAGTTTGAAGATCAGTTAACAATGAAGGAGTTATGTGAACAATTCCATGTTATTCAAACAGCTGCAGGATTTTTCACTAAAATGAATCCTAACAAGTCTAGCATTGGTCTAAAAGAGGATTTTGGAGCACACAATGATTCCTTAACATCAGCTGTACAAATTACTACAGGGTAAAACAGATTAGAAACATTCTTGTACAACCTTCAACTACCAACAACACTGCACCCACATTAACACAAACACCACAGCATCCATCTCAGCCTAGTAGGGCCACACCAATCCTCTCCACACATCTCCATGTCCATGGTAAGATAAAATACAATTAATTTGTACACAGGAGAATATTTAAAAACTTTTTTGGAAAACCCGGAGGTCTCTTAATTGCAATTTTTCAGGGGTGTATATCTTGTATTATGAGAGGGTTTGCTGTTTTCAGCTTTATTATACTACTTCTCTCCAATTTGATGTCCCAAGTTTCACTGCCTAGATTTTTCTTGCTCTCATCAAAATGCTCTTTTCTATGTTTACTTTCAACTTTCTATTTTATAAGTTATGTCATAAGAAAATTCAATGTATATAGCATTACCAGCATGTACACCAAGGTGAGGACTAGTGGCAAAGCCCTGGCATTCAGGATCTTTCTGTAGACCTAGCTCCTCATCCAATCCAATGTCAGAATCCAAACCTGTGGGTAATAATATCAAACCATTCCAAAAAAATTCACTATCACTGGAATACTGAAATGGGTACACCACTAAAAAGGACATTATTATTAAATATTATACACATGACAAATAACATTATGGTTAGTACTGATACAATAGTGACTACAATACAGTATTCATTTAGTTCAACAAATAAGATATACAGGAACTATATAGTATACTGTATGATACTCCTATTGCTGTAACGAAGCAATCAAGATTATTGGTAATTGATTTGTTGTAGTTAATTGTTTTTTCTTCATTCGGTGAAGGGGAATTAGCAATGACTAAACAAAGTTCAGTGATAGAGGGATTCATAGTCTCAAGGGATACAAAAACCCATGGGATTCATACATCTAAGGGATTCATAAACCCAAGGAATTTCATACATCCATAAGATTCATAAACCCAAGGAATTCACAAACCTGAGGTATACATAAACCCAAGAGATTCATGAACCCAAAGAGATTCATAAGCCCAAGGGCTATACAGTAGTCCCTTGAGTTATGATAATCCATTAATCGAGACAACTAAAATTTATAAAATACCATATTGTCAATACATACAAAACATTAAAAAATGCACATTACTGTGGCCAGTTGGAACATGACAATTATCATGACCATTGAAGTAATACATTACAGTGGAACAATACAGTAATAATCTTGGAGAGGTTCTTTATAAAATTCCCAGCTATACAATGAAAAGAAAGAGAACAGAAAAGTACTACATAGGGGAAAGAATTCCCATTTACAATTTAAAACAATATCAGCCCTGCAAGAGAGGGAGGTGCCTTAATGACAGTGAAAAACTTTTGATCCAAGGAGATGGAGATAACATTTTCCTTCCAAGAATCAAACCCAATTACCTCTCAGTCCCCAAGCACAGTATAAACCTTATACGTTTACTGTTTTCTCATGATTATAATAATAAAACAGCAACATATCAGGAATATTTAATAATGTGTGTGGTACAGCCACTTATTTTCCAACATAGCACAAAAGCCTTCATCACTAACCTGTGGTAAAAGTTACAGCAGCCAGAGGATGAGACACTGTGAAGCAAGTGTCAGGCTGTGGAGAAGGTTGAGGGCTTGGGCACTCCGAGTCTAATAGTAACCTATGAGAACCCTCGTCATCCTGAATCCTTAAAAATACACGAACAGTATAATTCAAAGCTGAAATTCAACTTTTTCTGAATTTCTAACATATTTATAAATAGTGCTGAGAAAATGGATAAAAAAATTTAATATTTCTGGCTTAAATCTTAAGGATATTTAGAGACTCTGGAAGAGAAGAAACAGTTAAGTGCAGTAAAAAGCAGTAGTGAAAATAAATGGTATAAAATACCGACACAATGGAAACATAAACACAAATGCAGTTTAATGTGATCCTTTATTGACAATGTTTCGCCCACACAGTGGGCTTTTTCAAGTCACAAACAGATCTGTTTGTGACTTGAAAAAGCCCACTGTGTGGGCGAAACGTTGTCAATAAAGGATCACATTAAACTACATTTGTGTTTATGTTTACAAAAAGCAGTAGTAATATATCACTGCTGGTGACAACTAACTACTGCAGTGCATCATTGCTGGTGATACCTGACTAAATATTCAGAAAATAAACTTTTGAACATTCCCACCCCTTCTTATATTATAGTATTTACTTGTATCTTCATATCTTTTTATTAGTATCTGTGCACAGAACTCAACTACCAAAAAACTATCTTGCATGTATATGTATTTACTCAGCAAGAGTTTGTGATCAGGACTAACTTCAGCTTTAGATACCAGACAACTAGTGGATATAAAAAAAAATAGACTACAACAAGAGAATAAAGCCTCCTGTAAGTGAACAATTTTCTATAAGCATCTTCTTTTTCAACTACTTGTCAGCTCACTGACATAATCTTAACTGTAACAGTGCATAAGCAATAAAATACTTACTGCACACTCTGAGCAATATATCCCATTCCCTCAGAATCTAAACAGGTACTGTCAGACTGTCCTACATCTGCTGAGTCATCTGAGGTGTAAATAATACAGGGAAGACCTTCATTCTCATTGTCATCTGAGCGAGAGATGCTGGAACGTGAATCATCAGAGTCTGAACCCCCAATCTGGGAATAGTCGCTGCCAACAATAATTCCAGCTCCACCAACACTTCCCCCACCTCCACCAAAAGATCGCAGATGTGGTTTGTCCATTATTCTGAAATAAAGAACAAGTGAAAATTTTTTTTTTTTTTTTTTATTATCACACCGGCCGATTCCCACCAATGCAGGGTGGCCCGAAAAAGAAAACTTTTACATCTCATCAGTCATCACTGTCTTGCCAGATGGGTGCTTTACACTACAGTTTTTAACTGCTAAAATTAACACCCTCCTTCAGAGTGCAGGCACTGTACTTCCCATCTCCAGGGACTAGCCGGCCTGACCGGGTTCCCTGAATCCCTTCATAAATGTTTACTTTGTCACACTCCAACAGCACGTCAGTATTAGAAAAACCATTTGTGTCTCCATTCACTCCTATCAAACACGCTCACGCATGCCTGCTGGAAGTCCAAGCCCCTCGCAACAAAAACCCCTTTACCCCCTCCCTCCAACCCTTCCTAGGCCGACCCCTACCCCGCCTTCCTTCCACTACAGACTGATACACTCTTGAAGTCATTCTGTTTCGCTCCATTCTCTCTACATGTCCGAACACCTCAACAACCCTTCCTCAGCCCTCTGGACAAACAGTTTTGGTAATCCCGCACCTCCTCCTAACTTCCAAACTACGATTCTCTGCATTATATTTCACACCACACATTGCCCTCAGACATGACATCTCACTGCCTCCAGCTTCTCCTCGCTGC